TTCCGACGGGGGACGAAGTGTAGGGAAGAGGAATGCCCACTACTGCAGCGACATCGACACGTGGGCGCGAGGCACGAGCTAGGACTGCCTGATTGCTGCTGCGACGCTGCCCGTATACTCGGCCTGCTCTTGCTGCTTCGGTACCGAGGCCGCTACCGCTGTTTACCTTGCATTTACATTATAAGGGCAATGATCTAGTTTATTTCCAAGCTCGGATACTCAGCAGCCGAGTACCACAATCGCCCACCGCTGAAAAGGATACAGATGAAGGGCGTGGCAATCTTGACAAAGATTGCCGCATCAGGGCACTTCCCCACAAGGACCTCGATAAACGTCAAGCTTGTGATTAGCACCGCCTGCAGACTAATACATTCCCAAGTCTGCATAAGCTTTACCCATGCACCTGGAGGGATATCACAACACATGCCCATGGTGCGGGGATACTCCTACACTAACACACGTGACCTACAGCTGCTGAAAGTGACCTGTAACAGTACCCCATTGTGTTCGCTGAACGGACCCTGGAAATCAAACTGATGACCCTGGACCTGGCCCACCAATCAGCATAGTCAGTGGAGCCTTGGAAGAAGGGCCCCACCCGTGATGTACCACTTTTTTTCATAAAAGTTGTCTCAATCTCTCTTTAGTGAACAGATAACTCGAGGTTTTGTGTGGTACGAAGCTGCTTCTGTTCGCGTCAGTGTAACTGCTGCAAGCATGGATGCACGTACTAGTTAGAACAGTATATACATGTCATATCTATGCTGCTTCGTGAAATATTTTGTACAGTTCTGGATCATAAAAGGAAATCACAGCTGCACGCTTGCAAACAATGGAAGACAACTTGTCGTAACGCTATCGTTTCAGGGAAAAGAGCAACGAAATATACGAAAAAAAGCGAGAGCATAATGCGTTTTTGTGCCTATTTATTTTAGTGCATATATATATATATATATATATATATATATATATATATATATATATATATATATATACATACATAGGTACATACATACACATAGAGAGAGAGAGATACGGGACGAACAAGCTGTTTCTATGTGAGTAGGTAAAGTCTGGTCCCAGATGCATTTTTGATTGAGATCAACTGAACATTTCACAACATTGATTATTTTGCACTTGCAGATTTCACAATACAACCTCTATAATTGGAGCAATTCATTGTTATCAAGTCACAGTACAACTGTTGTGTCACCCAAAGTTGTGAGAAAGTCTGCCAGAAAAATAGCGCGTGCAAATTCTGTTGCCAATGCGCAGCATAACTTACAAAAAATTTCTGCATATTGCTAGCATGCTTTGATGCGCACAATAAATAAAAAAAAACATTGACTAAAAGCTATCACTGTGTCAGCGCTGCTTGACATATAGAGTTTAACATAAAAATCCTTCCCATAGGCATGCAGTCGTAAACATTAACAGTAACAAATTATTCGCTCAGTGAAGTGAGCAAAACCGAAATGTAATTATGAATGTACAAAAACATGCTATGTATACCTCTATTTCGGTGTTGTAAGCGGAGCCGTCCTTGACTTGTGAAACGCCCTTCGCCACGACGAGAACTCGGCCATTCACGCTTAACAGAGATTCACAATTAACGATGCCTTCTCCGATCTGGCGGGTCATCACAATGATTCGTTTTCAAAGACTATATAGTCCATTTTATAATGCGACGAGAGGCCGTTGCTCCAAACGGTCACTCTACCTGTCCTTTACTGTGTTTTACAGCGATTACTTTACTTTTACTTACTCTCTTCACAAGCATACACATGGGGAGAGGGGGCAGTCTCATGACTTTGATATCTATATACACAATCAAACTACTGCCGATAGTGACGTCACAGAAGAAAGCTGATGCCTGTGCCCCCCTCAGGCGGGTCAATGTAACCCCCCCCCCCCCCCCCGAAAAAAATTCTGGCTACGCCTCTTATGCAGACCGAACTAGCGGACTACTTGATGATAGAGGGACCACTTGCTGCAGCACTTTTTCGTTTCTTAAAACGAGCTCAAGTTCCTGTTCCTTGACTGTAATTTGTTGCTGCAAGCAAGCATTGTAAAGTTAAAATTTGTACTTTGATGAAAACTGTGGCCTTGTGGGAATATTTGAGCACTTCGAATAGTCCTGCAAATATTACAATATTCATGTTTGCTTTGATTCGAATTTAAATTCTTGTAAATATTAAAGTATTCGAAATAAACAAATAGGTGTACATTAGTTTGCATGTAACCTACCTTTAAGTGTGGTTTCACTGCAGTAGTGAGGTTACAGTGAATACTCCTATTTAGGGAAAATCCACTGTGCTGTGAAGTCACACTCGACTGTTAAATGAACTCATCGATTCATAATTTTTCAAGGTTAAAAAGCTCGTTGTACTGGTTCATATGCTCCAAGTATATTAAATTTTAAAACTTCACATATATCTAGAGGGTATCACTTGCATGTTACTCAAAGTCAAATTCTGCTACTATACTAACTGCTTCTCTTCTTAGAATGACATTGGCACATGCCTTGCTTCAATTAAAAAAAGACGTGCAAGTTAGTTGATCCATGACAAATATGGTAATATTTATTCATAATATGTCATATGTGCTATTCTACTTTGAAATGATTTTACCCAATTGGCATTTGCTTTGAATTACCCTCAAATTTACTACCTTATTTACTCACCTAATCCTCACACTCACGCAATTTTTGCATGCCCTACATCGGCCAACAAAGCTACAATTTCTTTTTTTTTTTTTGCAATTAATTATCGCACCCCGAAAATTGCTGCAGTAATGTCCTCTGCTCGTTCCAGCCACTGATGATGATAGCGCATGCCGTCTGGCACCATCTCTTAAGCATCAAGCGTACTATTATATCATGGAAACTCAATACAATCCAAGTCAAGTCAAAGTGGCAAGTGTGCGTTGCGGCGGGTTTTTTACGTTGTGTCCGTCATTTTGTTACATTATAGGGCGATGCGGAAGCTACACCGCTGCTTTCAAGTTAGAAGTGATTGATCATGCTTTAAACAATGGCAAAAGGACTGCTGATGGGCTCTTCGGAGTCGACGAGTTTTGTGTTCGCTACTGTGACGGCAGCTGAAAGCCTTCAAGACGCGTTGGGCCTTCTGTGTGCCTAAAACTGGGACAGACGGTAAACTTTGTTTTGTCTGAAGGCAACTGCAACTGTGGACGAATCTGTGTTAAATGGCCATCAGCCAAATACTTGCGTTATACACCAATCTTTTGCTGGCTCCTGTTGAGCGAGGAACGCTACCACAACGCGCACAAGCTTTGCGTACAGTATTCTAATTCTCGACTATTTGCTTGCACCTTTTGTGTCTCAAATAAAACTTGCCTTGTGTTGAACCTGTGCTTTTATTGTTGAGGTAAGTATTGATTAGTATTTCTCAAAGCTTGCAGCAGTTAGTTGCTGGTGGGAGAATCCCGATTTGCAGCCACTTCTTTATCACTCTGTACGTTTCCGCAGAAAGCTTTTCCTGCGTAATTCTTGCACCCCACAACTTTGCATCGGTTTTCCGCCAAAAAAAAGTGGGAGGATTATGCGAGTGGATACAAAGGCCCAGCAAAGTGATACGGGCACATACAGTACCATCTCGATGATATATTCTCTTAGGGAGCATGCAAAATTTTCGTATCATCCCAAATCTGTATAAACCGAAACAAGTTAAAGCTGATAATAGAGATGAACAAGGACTATTGGGGTCAACTGCTCCTTGTTGAAAAAGTCCACGATGTTCTTGAACTTTTCTGCCTTCGCTGTCTCTCAAGAAAGCTGCCAAAGAGGAATAAAACCATGTCGCGGTTTCCTCACTCTTGCTGCTAAAAGGGAGTGAAAGTGGCAAAACTTGCTGTAAGATCACACGCTTCGCCACAAAGTTGACAAAAAATATCGATCCTAGTGCAAGCGAAGTGAAATTGAAAACGCCAGAGTGACCGGAAAACCACCTCCGGGTGCACTAAAACGTTCACATTCGTTCTGCTCCTTGTGCATGCCGTCACTACCACCGCCTTCGATACTTTGAGAAGTCATTCCATTTTCGATTCTTATTTTGTACCAAATTCTAGTTATTATTGCAAAGCATTGAAATGATACAGTTCGCACCTCTTGAATTGTTCTTTCGGGAGATACATCAGCAGAAACGACACAAGCAGGTTCAGCTGGCTGTCGAAAAGTGAGACAGGTTGAGGTGTGTAGACTCACTGCTGCTGCACTGTCTACTTCTGCTGTTTTTCTGAGATTGTAATCTAAACCAGGCCCTCGATGAAAACGTCCCTGTCGAGGCCGTGAGCCTCATCGTGCTGCGGGGGTAGTTTGCGATTGCGGTGATTTGGGTAATCGTCGACGCCTTTGCCGTCATTTTGAATTTATGGTCGGCTGTTTACATCATGAGGTTTCACGTAACGTTCCTTTGAGCGATGTCGTTGTGGCCACTTAGGCGGCAAAGTGAGGGAGCTAAGCCGCATTCACACCCTTTGGGGTCAGGTGTGAACGGGCCTTTCTCCCGCAGAAAATTCTCATTCCACCCCTCGGATGCAGTGGTCAATCACGCGTTTGTATCATCCGTGGTGGCTGGTGAACCGTTCGTATAACACCAAATTATAGTGCATTTTATATAACGTAGTCCACCCGAAACAACCTTAAAACTCAGATGAACCACGATCCTATCCTTAATAGAATACTGTAGTTTCATAGTCTCAATGAGGATGACAGTGTGTTACAATGTTGGCTCAAATGCAGCGCCCCCACGCGGCGCCGATTGTTGTGTTGAGCTGTGCAAGCCTTGCGCAGCAAACGGGGTGGCCATTTTGGAAACAATAAATGACAGTTCGTTCTGAGCAAAGGGCTCAACATGTTCTCATGTTCTTGCGGGCCTGATGGCCTACTGTTTACAGTATCACTATCTCCTGGCCATCCATTAATCTACACATGTGTCACAGTGATGCTGAGTTTTATTGAAGTGTAACTCTGGGTGCAGGTGCTACCGGACGAGAAGATTGCTTTGCTACTCCACTCGGTGGTGCAGTCTGGAAGAGAATACGCCAAGAAACACCGCAGCCCTTGCCCACTCATGTACTCCTACTACGATGTCGAGTACCTGGGTGAGTGCTGCAGTTAGAAATATTGGCAGCTGAACTATATCCCATAATTGGCGCGAAGACAAGCAAACGGCGAAGTTCGATTACAGTTAAATGCCAATGTAACAGGCGCAGTATTGGTTTCACGGCATACAGCCAACAAAGATGAAATGCTGTCACATTCCAACCACACATAGTGATGTGACAACACACGGGGGAGGAGGGCATTTAAATCAGAGATTACAATGCCTCGGGTTTTATGAGTACTCTAGCGAGGGAAGAGCAATGCTGAAGAAAATTTGCACTCACTGACTAACACAACACAAAAAGTCCGATTTAGGGGTGTGTGAATATTGAAATTTTCGAATACGAATACATAGCTGCGAATACAAATCGAATATCGAACAATGAATAGGTGCAATTTTTTCCACCAGTAATCTTTTACTCAATCATATCTTTATGTTGGAAATAGTACAATCGTTATTATAGTCGGTTATTGCACACACAAATTTTTTAAAATCTCGCATCTGTACTTGCCAAAAAGTGTAAGACTAATAGTTGAGCTTGTGACTGTGATATCTTAGGTTCAATCCACAAGTTGAACAAACCTCTTGTATCTTTTTTATTTTTTGTGGTAGCTCTTTATTAGAAAAAAAAAGAAAAGCTTTCGCACCCGCTATGATGACTAGTGAGCATGAGGCCACTGGATTGATTGTGTAACAATGAACACCCGGGTACTTAAAAGCAATCATTAAAGCAGCCTAGGTAATCACAATTTATCCAGGTTTCCACACTATCAGTTTTGGCACAAAAGACCCCGATTTTATAGTTTCTTTTTAATTTTTTTCTCTGTTCTCACCGGTCAAGCCACTAAGAGAAATAGGAGTATTTGGGGCATTTTTCAACTACTCAGCAATACTCGTTATCTCGCTTGCTTGGATGCGTGCTCACCATTTTCAGATCACGATTGCTGTGTTATGCTGATAGGTGTAGCGGGCACGCAGCAATAAGGCGAGTTAAGCGTGCAAGATGGCTGATTACTGATGTCTGATATAAAGACGCCCCAAATGTGCCTTTTTGTTAACGGAGCCACAACTCCCAGCGGCAAGGGCACTATTTTGCTGCATCGCGACCTCCTTCGGTGCACCGCTGCTGACGGCAGTAAACTGCCGTTGGCAAAAGAGCGAGATCACTGCAATGATGTAATGGAAAGTTGAGTGCAGGAGGCGTTGCTGCGCGAGCGCGATACGTGCACGACAGATTTTCAAAGGTGCTGCAGGGAATGCAGCAGCCATTCCCATGCTGGGAATGCAGCCAAACTGGGCATTAATCCGTCCGTCACCTTACGTGCACCACCATTAGCAACGGAGGACTATATGTGATGATGCCATTGTAACGATACGGAAACTGCATGGTCTTTTTTATATTTGCGATTGTACAAAAAAACACTTCAGCCTGTTTGCATGAACATATCCGCTACCGTGAAATCGTTCCAGAACTATGAAGAGAGTATACACGCTGAAGTAGCGGCACAGCTGACTGACGACTCGTCAGGCATTGACATGTGCGCCTACATTTTTGCGGTGATCCATTTGCAAAAACTGGCATGGCTATACATTAAACGTGTTATTATCGTACGTCAATTTTGTCGAGCCAATGCGGTGGCGGCGAGTTGCATTCATTTCTACGAGTGATACACACTTCTGGGCCCGCGCACAAGGGCCGACAGCTGATGCCGTGATCAGTATGCTTACATGAACCGTAACAGCGCTAAACTGCTAAGGCACACATACTGCCATGCAGTCAGTACATGATGTAGATTTATTGAGGAGGAGGAAGGAAGGAGGAAGGACAGGGAGGTTAGCCAGTTATCAGGTTGGTTAAAAGTGGTCAGCTGCTGACCCGCAGGTCGCGGTATTGAATGCCGGCTGCAGCGGCTGCATTTTTGGCTGCATTTTCGAGGCGAAAATTCTGTAGACTCGTCTGCTCAGATTCGGGTGCACTTTAAAGAACGCCAGGTTGTCGAAACTTCCGGAGCCCTCCAAAAATTTAGGCGTCTGTAATAATCATATGGTGGTTTTGGGACATTAGACCCCACACATCAATCAGATTGATTGAGATGTTTATCATTGGTAGGTTTGTCCCAATGACGTGTCGCCGCATTTGTCGATAGCCATCATCACGCTCCCGTGAGTTTCCATCCAGGCATCACCGCACTGCCGTCAAAATTATTGCATGATATACTGAGGCTCTTATTGCAAATACGCAAAATCGTAAGTTCTCCACCGTGACATATGCAAACAAATAATCGTGAACATCGAATATTCGAGTTAGTTCTAATATTTGAAATTTTTGAACATGTGGTTATCGAAGTGAATACGAATATTACAAATGCAATATTCAAAGAATATTCTAAACTCTCGAATATTCGTGCACGCCTAATCAAATTTGACATTTTGCTTTCCAATACAGCTGCCTTCTTCACAATAAACTAATGCATAATAGTCTTTACTATACAAATAAACTTGCTTATAATGAACCTTCATATAACGAATTCCTTGATATAACGAAGTTTTTCATTCCCCACTGTTGCTGCTTAGAAGCACATGTATTTGCGACCTCTATGTAACAAAGTAACAGCCGGAGACAACTTTGATACCATCAAACCCCACTACAATGAACGCTGCTTCAACGAAATTTCTGCTATAACGAAAAATTCACGGTTTCCCGTCAGCAGTTCGTAGTAGCCAATGCATAAATATTGTCTCCAGAACGAACACTTCTTCGTCTGCCGTCCCATTTCAACGAAATTTCACGATGCGATTCCAGGCTCGGATATTTATTGCTATACAGTAAACACAATCTTCACCATTTTGGCGCGTTTTCAGAACCTGAAAATACGTCGACAAAGTCTAAAACACGCGTTGGCACCACCGGAAACCTCCGCTATTAGCATGGGCGCCGCCATTGCTCGATAGTGATGGGAATGAGACTGCACTGCTTTTGCCACTGGCTTGCTTTTGAGCCGCAGACAATCTGAAGCTCAAGCTCACTCGCTCAGGTCATGGTTTTCTTTCACGCAGCTGTGCGGAAGGATGCCTTTTTCAATGTCAATGCGTATTGCATTTTTTCGCGTTGGCTATTGTGGTAACTAGTTAGAGCAGCTGTTTGTCTGCATTATCAACAAAATCAGCTAGCCGCGAGTGGTGGATGATAAGAATGGCATTGAATGAGGCAAAAGTCTCCGCTCCAGGATACTTTGCCTCCATCTCGGCCGGATACACTTGGACGGCGGACAGCTGCTGGTGTTAACGTGTTAATGCAACTGTTTCGTTTGTTCACGAAAGCGGTGGTAGGTGTTGTTTCAGGGAGCTTGTCACCATGGCCTCGCTGTGCGTGGGTGAGAATCGCATCGTGACGCTGCTGGGAAAGAACAGGAAGCAGTGGACACATTTTGAATTTTGAAAACAAACGTTCCTTTGTTTTGCTAGCTAACATCAGCTATATTTTTAGATTTCGCTACAAGGAAATTTTCTCTTCAACGAAAGTTTTATCGCTCCCCGTCAGTTTTGTTGTAGCGGGATTCAACTGTAAATGAATTATCCCCACGGGCAATCTAGGAATTTTGCCCCTGATTTTGACATTTTGGTATGAGCATGCATCTTCCGTGGCTGCCCCTCCGCCGATAAAACACGATGCAGCGGCGACGCGCGCGCGTGAGAGCGAGGTAGGCAGGCGGGCCTGCGCCGCACGAGCCGACGTTGCCGTCGTTACATGTGCCCCCGCCCCGTTCATTCTAAAAACAGAAATTAAAACTAATTTTGAGTTGGCAGTTCTACGCTTTTAGTTAGCGCCACCTATCTGGGCCGTGCTGCATATAGAGAGGACTTTACCGAATAGTTTTCGGCTGTATCCGTGTCTGTGTCTGAGTCACACTTGATATAATCTAACATGATACAGTCTAACGCTTCAAATCATGAGAAAAAAAAAGAATACAAGTGTCTATTGAGTGAATTTCACATTTTAACACACTTCGTATTATCTGAGGTATAACTGAAAAAAAAAATACATCGAGTAATGATAAGTGCTTCATGAGCGAAGTTCTTATCGCACGTTGCTACAGCACTAGTGATAAAAGCGCCATCATTGCGTCCCTTGAGTTGTGGCAGTGAAGTGCAGAAGTGAAGTGTGGCACAAGTGCAGAAAAGGGAAATCGCCTTGTAGGATGCAACAGATGATGGGTCCCTCTTTTGGAATATCAGGGTTATTCGGGCATAGTTCCAGTCTCTTGGAATTTCTGTGTCTGATGAGAATTTCTGAAATATCAGACATAAAAATTTTGCGCACCACTCAGAATATCGGTGTAGAATTGCGTTTGGGATCCCATCTATACCTGAAGATTTTTTGACGTCTAGTTTAAGCTAGAGCGATAAAATGACGTCATGTTACATCCAGCAGTATAATCAGTTGTGAAGAAAAAGAACTTTTTTTATCCTTAAATTCATCTTAGAGAAATGCAGTTGGGACTGTGTGAGTATCTATCATTGTACGCCACAGATTTTGTCTACCAAATCGGCTGATAAGCACAAGGGTGCATTTAGAATGTTCTTTCATATACTATTTTATTCAACCAGTATTCTGTTTATTTGCTACAAAAATAGTCACTGAACAAGTTGATGAACAAGAACAGCATGACATTATTTTTGCATCATCAACTGAAATAGGGAGTGCTCCTAAGATATTTGGCTCTATGAGGTTTGCAATGAATCGAAATATTTCTAGCTGTTCACAAGAGCCCCAAAATAATTATTCATATTCTTGAATGTAAATGCGACTTGCTTCTCCTTCAGGATGGGAAGTTACCTGCTCCGGATTGCTCCAAAAGAGAAAATATTGCTGCTCTAAAGTGCTCCAAAATAGATCAAAATGTAAATTTTGCTGCCCCAAGAAATGCTTCGAATCAGCAGACATCGATGACATTACTGCACTTTCCACTTTATCAGCTTTGAGTCCATTTAGTTTCA